TGATTAAAAAAAACATTGTAGTGTGTGTGTGTAATTGTGAAAGAATAAATAAACTTTGGAAAAATATATGTAAAAAAGAAATGGAATCATACACTATGAAACTTTGCAGGTTTTTTTTTTCCACTGGGATTAATTGTGTAGTGATTCATTCAGGTTGGTGAGTGTCCCATTAACTGAATCCTGTTGATTACTTACTATCCTTCCAGGGCAAGAGTGTACCACAATCTGTTTAAACATTCACCACTGAAGGACACCTATTTTGTTTCCTTTTGGGGCTATTATAAATACCACTGCTATAAATACTTATGCAAAGGCTTCACTTTTAAGATGCATACTCAAATATTTATGGATGAGAAAAATGATGCCTAAGGTTTGTGTCCAAAAAATTCCAAACTAGGTTAGATACCAAAAACTATGAACAAATAAAGCAGTCTGAGGCCGGGGTATAGTTATGTGGTTAGAACATCTGATTATCACATGGGGAAACCTAGGTTTAGCCACTATTGACTAAATGAATAAATAATATCACCACAAGTTTGTAAGTATACATACTATCATCTATACTTTTGGATATCTTTGAAATTTCCTAAAATACAAAGTTTAAGGAAATAGGAAAGAAAAAAAAACCTAACCTACTTATTTGATTATATACAACTCCACACACAAACTCCTTTAAGTAAAAATTGAACATCTGCTTTTTGTCTTAAAATCCTGTGATATTAGTCCATCCTAAGATGACAAAACTTCTTTGTCCTAAAACACAACACTCACACCTACAGTGACAATCATGGTAACATTCACTTTAGCAATTTAGCCAGATCCAACTAGGTACTGGTTAACTTTCTTTAGGAAGTTTTTATTAGGCTTCAACGTTGAGATAATAGCTAGTCTGTAAGGTTGGACAAAGGCAGGTGAGCAATCACCATAATCAGATGTATGAGATTCATGAGTGGCTTGTCTTCAAGAGAGAGGGTTCATGTCTGACATGAGCAAGCCCTTATCATCAAGACAAATGCTGAGAGAACAGAAGTGTGATTACTGAAGATGAAGAGGAACAAACCATATGAGCACAATCAGGCCTGAAAATGAAGTGAAATACATTCTATATTATGCAAAGGCTGCTTTTGTTTTTAAGGCACTCTGGGGGACAGGATATTATTACAGTGTTCAGTCTGCAAGCTAATGATTCATTAGCATAATTCTGCAAAACGGTGTCTACTATTTGGTGGCACCAATATGCTATCAGCTTATCCTCCTCTAGGGCTGTAACACACCCTTCCACTCTCTCCCATTGAAGACACCTTGTTTTTTTTTTTTTTTTTTACCCCCATGGACAAACTCTTATATAAAAAAAATGTAGATCTACTCTTCCAAAGATCTCAAGCAAAGGAAAAGATAAATACTAAACTGTTAGCCAATCTGGGATTAAGAACCAAGATCTTCAGAGGAAATACATATAATGACTGTCAAATGCCCAGTGGTGCCCATGGCTACAAATGAGTTTTTCTTGTTCAGTCTTGACTGCTTGGGCAGGTACTTGGTTAAGTGACTCTAAAGCTTAAAGGAAGATTTTAGTAGGAGGCTTATCAGGAGAAGTTATTTAAACTACCCACAATCAAAATTCCAGTAAAAGAAATCCCCAAAGTATAAATTTTATAGTTGGGCACACAAAATATCTATCAAGTGAGCCCCTTGTTAGAAATAACAGTGCTTACTGATGTGTAACATGACAGCACTATGACAAATGGGGAAAAGGGGCATTTAAATGTCTACAAACTAAAATATATTAGACAATTCTTAAAAAGAGTGTACAGACTAGTTCATTTTATGAGTAAACATCTTAGATATCCCATCAATGGAAATAACTCTACTGGTAACACAGGGTTAGGAAACAAAAGGAAATGCAGTTGAATTAAAAATTCTATTCCTATGTCATGGGCTCTAACAGAGATGTGTGGAGTTAAAACACAAATTTATACGACATACCAGGAACTATGAATAGTTTGGCATTGAGATAAACAACAGAGTCAGTAATGAGGAAAAGGAAGAGGACAGGAAAAGAATCAGGAACACAATTAAGGAGGAACAAAGCACATAGAGGTTCACACAGACAGAGAGCCTGCAGGGGACTGACCTAGACCCTCTGCATGTATGTGACAGTTGTGTAGCTTGGTCCTCTTGTGGGACTCCTAACAGTAGAAACAGGGACTGTCTCTGACTCTTTACTGACTTTAGGGATCCCACTCCTCATACTGGGTTGCCTTGCCCAGCCTTAATATATGAGGAGGTGCTTAGTATTTTCTGTAACTTGGTATGTCATGTTCTGTTGCTATTCATGGGAGGCCTGCACTTTTCTGAACAGAAATGGAGGAGGAGTGAGAGGATGTGGGAGACAGAGCAGGATGGGGGGGGACCAGGAAGGGGAGGAACTTCAGTCAGGATATTAAATAAACAAATAGATAATTTTTTTTTTAAAAAGGAAGGAGCTAAGTACTTAAAGTTGGAGTGGTGGCACACACCTTTAACCCAAGCACTAGGAGGCACAGGCAGAAGATCTCTGTGAGTTTGAGGTAAGCCTGGTCAACACAGTGAGTTCTAGGCTAGCCCGGGCTACACAGTGTATATATGTATATAGAGAGAATGCTAAAATTAAAGCCATACACATTTTGCTTATGATCTTCCTATATCTTTGCCATCTTCCTTGATACTTCAAAACAAACATTTTCTCTGTCTGTCCTGTGGATTTTGACTCAGTGTTATACATTTCTGGCAGTGGTAGTCATTGAAAATATCGAAAGTTCAAACAGCATTCACTTTGGCATACACAAAAATTAATACAAATCAGTTTCCATTAAACAAGATGGTCTTGCTCAAAGCCTACATGGTTACTTTTAAATTGTTATTATGATTTGTCTGTAAGTGCAGGTGCGCACACCACGATATGCATGTGGTGACTAGCAGACAAACTTTGTGGGGCTGGTTCTCTCCTACCTTTCACTAGTTCTGGGGATCAGACTCAGATTGCCAGACTTGTGCTGTAAGTCCTTTACACACTGAGCCATCTCGCCAGCATCTATGTAACCGTCTCGCTTATTTATCAAATTACTGTAATCACAGGAACCACACATCTACCCAGTCTACTGAACCTGGATTGCAGAGGGAACTGCTGTTGTTTGACAGAAAGGAGTCAATGGAAGAGTGGGTAGGAAATTTCCAGACAGAAAGAAGAAGGCATTAAACCTAGAAAGAGTTTCAAAGCAAGTGACATAAGGTGGGTATAAAGAAATCAGTAGCCACGGTCTGTAAGAGCTGCACAGAGTGGAATAAAAGATGAAGTTAGAAAGCAAGTGGGCGTTGGAGTGGCAGCCACTGAAGGCAGGTAAGGCATTTAGAGGTTCCTACAGTACTTGCAGAGCAGTTGCAGGGCTGAAGGGAGTGGCATGAGTCAGCAGTGCTAAAGAAGGCATGAAAGGGGCCAAGAGGAAGGAGCAGAGAGCTATGGATGCCAGACTTCACTCATGGTGGGGGGAGGGGCAGCATTTATTTTGGGGGAGCATGCTGAAAAGAAAAGGGGTAATCCGAGGGCAGTGTGAAAGGAGCCTAGTGCTAGTTTTGTCCATAGTTGAAAACCAACAAAACAGTCACTTGAAGCCATCCCAAGGAACTACTTATGATGACGGGTACATAAACCGCCATAATTATGATCAAAGCCACAGAAGGGTATAGTCTAATGACTAATAAAGCCATTTTTAAAGGAAGTTTTTATGAAGTTAAACAGAGACTTAAAGAAATTTTTTTATATACATAAAGCTTATTTTAAAGGCTATGATGTTTGCAAAGTAGTAATTTTAAATTTCTGAGATAATTAACTACTGTTTTAATAATATCAGTAATAATGACATGATTCGACAAACCTGTTTTCTATACTTTTGCAAATTTGCTGTTTATACCTCCTTTTGTAAATCTATTTTCATATTTTGCATATTGCAAACCTATTGCTATTCAAGAGTTCATATTTTCTTTTGTAAATGCACCTACAAGTAAGACTGAGAAGTAATTATAGGCAACAAAAGCCAAGGCACCTACTTCTGTAGGTCAGCCAGCTACACAGTGAGATCTTGTATCAAAAAAAGGAGAAAAATTAAAGACATACATATTTAGCATATGATTCTGCATCTTTTTACACCCTTTGTCATCTTCCTTGAGACTTAAAAGCAAACATTTTCTCAGTCAAAGGTATACATTTCTGGGTATTCCATGTCTATCTCTGTCTCTCTGTGTGTAAAATGTGTGCATGTGTAGTTCACTGATTCAGACATCTAGGATCTGCCTATCTCCATTGCAACACTGGGGGAACAGAATTCTGGGAGTCCAAATTCAAGTTTCTATGCTTGCACAGCAGGCACCTTACAAACTGAGTCATCTCTTTAGACAGCTTGCTCTCAGGCTAGACTGCTCTTCCTTCCTTCCTTCCTTCCTTCCTTCCTTCCTTCCTTCCTTCCCTCACTCCTTCCTTCCTTCTTTTCTGTTTGAGAGAGGTTCTTACCATGTAGTCATGACTGGCCTCAAACTTACTGAGGTCCTCCTGCGTCTACCTCCTGGCTGCTGGAAGCTCCTGTTTCTGAATGTGTGTGCCAACTTAGATTCTATTTTCACACAGAAAGCAAACTTTTGTTGAGCACCTGGTATGCACTATGTATTATGCTGGCTGGCGCAGATCATATGATGAAGAGTAAAACAGGAGAACAAACATTGTCTGCTCAAAAAGGAGTTCACAACATTGCTTTTAAAAGGGAATCACCCAAATATGTAATTCAGATTATAATAAGCCCCATAGAAGAAAAGGATAGGGTGTCACGAAAGTTTATAATGAGAGTAAACCATGTCTGGGTCTGGGATGATGTTTTTAAGGAAACTGTCTTTGAATTGAAATCTCTAAGGATGTGAAGGATTAAAACAGGGAAAGAAGTTGGTAAGGAAACTAGATGAAAAAAACTGACCTGCTGGGTAATGGTGTCCCATGGTCCCTGCAGCAGACGTGTCTTATAGCATTCGTGGACTCCTTCCCATATATCCTTCAGGGCTAAAGGTCTCCCATCTGTGAAAGTACATCATGAGAGGCTGTGTTAGTGACCCATGAGACATGATGGTGCTTGCTGTTGCTGTAAAGTACCAAGTGTCCCAACTTCCTGAAAAATCTCTACAGGTGTACACACACACTTAGATATGAGACTTCCATGTGAATTACTATTTTCTTTCTGAGGGGGGATTAAACATCCAATCTTCTCTCCTTTGTATTCATACAACAACTAAGATATGTCTATTACCTTTAGGAATTTTATAAAATAAATAAAAGCCAAACATGTTTCAGAAAGAAATGACAGATACAAGCATAAGGGAAAGTTCAGGAAATGGACTTTCTTATACCCAGAAGTCTGCTATGGATGCTGCTGGAGCCTTGATGATTCCTCTGGTCCTCGAAGAAACCACACCCATGACTCTTTATTGTTGATTAACAATAATGTTCCAATTATTGTTCATTCTACTGGGTATCAAGGAGACGAAATGGAAGGGAAACATAATTTCTTGCAGTAAGTAGCTTACCATTTACTGGGAAAACCATGAAAAGTATATGCATATCTTAAAACACTAAATAGAAAGAGGCTATTGTCAAGGGAAACCTAGTTAGTGCTGGAGAGCACAGAAGACAGAGGCACCTGCATATGGTGTCAGTTATCAGTGGGAGATGGGATGATGGAGAACCCTGAGAGGCTAGCATGAAGAGATTAGCAACAAACTGCAGTGAGCAAAAATTCTCCTTTTAGTCATTTAGGAACTTTCAATCATCTCTCTATACTTGGTGCCCATTCAGAGTATTTTATAAAGACCATCATGGAACTTACAATGCACATAGATGAGAGGGAAAGTAGGTGGCTAAGTTCAAACTCAAAAGAAGAAAGTGTTAACCAAGGTTTTCGAGATGCACTGCTGGAAGGGTGTCAAGATGCTAGAATCTGTGTCACTCTGTCCATTCACAGAAGTAAGATCTCAGACAGCAGATAGGCCTTTTCCTTAGACAAATATCCAATTTTACCTGATGAAAACACATCATTTATTGAATAACTTGGCTCAAAAGAGTGCAACACAACTCCGGGAAATACTGTACTCAAAACACTAAGTATCACTGTAGTGAACAGAGTCAGAGTCCAAGAAGAAATATAGGACATGAGCAGAAGGAGCAGGCTTAGAATCTGGGCCATGTTTAATCACAGGGTGGGCAATTGCCCTCTGTGTGTATCTCAGTTACTTTACTTCTTTGTCGCCTGAATCTCAGTTACATTTCCTATACATGGCATACAACAATCCTTTCAGGGTTTTGTTCTCATGAGGTGTACATGAGTGACCCTTGACAGGACTGTTTTAGGAACACAGAAAATGCTCAGGAAGTACTCCCAGCCCCTACTCTGCATTCAGTAATTTCAAAGCTAACAGATCCATTTCTGAACTGCTAATTCTTAGATGGTCCCCATGTTTCCGCACCATGCACACTGCCTTTGATGCAGTAACGTACTAATGGCATAAGCAGGGCATTTCTCATGTCTGACCTGAAAATCTGAACTTTCCCTCAACCTTTATTTTCAATAAACAGCACTGGGATATTTTGATACATTTTCAATAACTATCTTCATCTTGGCATTTATCTGGCAGCAGGAGACCATTATCTTGTGATAAATAGTTTTATTCCATTGACATTTCCATGTCTGTAAAAATGAACAAGATTTATTCATCCAATTAACATTTGAATGTCATGTTTAGCTACAAGTTGAAAACAAGCTGCCTTCAATATCTGTGTTATATTGTTTTCTGAACACATTTACAGAGTAGGCCAAACTCTGTTTTGAAGATAAGTACTACACATCTTCAAAACATGTGTGTGTGTGTGTTGATCCTGAAGAGGTAAATAAGATCCCAGGTACTGCATCATCAGAGAGCAAGTTCACCAATCAAATTGCAAAAGATGACATGCTTTCAAATAATGATTACATATCAAAATTAGAAGTAATTAGTAGTAGGACAACAAAATGAGCACTAGTAGGTTTACTAATTTCAGATATAAGGTGACTAACACCTTGGGTGATACAAATCTCCAGGATTATTCTGCCAGTTCACACTGTGATGGGATCAAAAGCCAGGAATCAGGACTCATAGTCCAGTGTTCTTCTTGAGCCATGCTTCCTCTGGGGACAGAGACACTGAAAATTTTATATATATATATATATATATCTGCTACTAAATAATAATTTTAATTTTATCCCTTAAAATAGTCAATAACCTAAGCATGGGTTGCTTATTGCCACCATCAAGAGCCTGCCTATTCGGCTGGAAGTGTTCATAAAAGAGTAGTAACAAGCAGCCTGCAACACTATCAGGACATATAACAGGATTTCCATCAAATTTGATACTAGAATTAAGGGCCAGTGCTTACATTTCATACCACATCAAATCTTTAGAGACAAAAAAAGAAAACTTCTTAGAACATAGGGTTAAAAAGACTACGGTCAATTATGAAAGCAATCAGAAAGGTTAATGATAAGCTCAAAACAAACAAAAAAGGTGCCTTTTGATTTATCTCAAAAATGCATGCTACCAAAACGAGTAATAATTTCTATGGTTCTGGAGGCAGAATGATTAAAAGCCAGAGGGGATAGCTAACACAGAGGAAAAAGTGTCTTACAGATACAGCAGGACTGGTGCATATATGAACTCACACAGACTGGGGCACAACGAAGAGATTGCACAGGCTCAAGCCAGATGGGTTCCCAGTGTGAGAGGGGGAAGTGGACACACTTTCCCATCCAACCAAGACTCTATCTCTAACTGACAACTGCTCACAAAGGAAAAGTCAGTTTTCTCCCAGCGTAACACGAGGTATACAAATCATACTTGAGGACCCATCCATCAGTGATGGCCACAAAACGGGCTCAATGGTGTTTCTGTTGATTTTTTATTTTTTATTTGTTTGGTCTCATGTTGCTTTGTTTGTACATTTTTATCCTTACTGGTCTTTTGCTTATATACCGTGGTTCCCAACTTTGTGTTTTTATGGTGTGTGTGTGTGTGTGTGTGTGTGTGTGTGTGTGTGTTTCTTATGGTTTTTGGTTTTTCATTTTTAAGTTTTCCTATTTGTTTTCTAAAGACAGAGAGAGAAGTTGCAGAGTTGGATGAGTGGGGAGGTGTGGAGGATCCAGGAGGAGATGGGGAAGCAGAAACTATGACCAGAATATATTGCATAAATTTGCAATAAAAGCAAAGAAAGAAAATTTTATGGTTTTAGCTTTTGCAGCTTTTTAAAAAAGAAAGTACTTTGTTGGTAGTGTCCAGGCTCTTTCTGTAACATTCAACAGAAACAGTGATTAGTACCAATATATTTCTCTACATCCTTGATATTAATTTCATTCACAAATTACAGAATGGCTGCAGCACTGGTACAGATTATTGTTAGCATGTACAAGGTGCTGGCTTCTAATCCCCCACACTGATACATCACCATGCATTTTCTTTATTTCTAACATGGTGAGGAAACATAGAAGCCCAACTTTCCACATCTATCTCCTTTCCAGCCATCAGTCTCATAATAACAATTATGGTCTGTCCCAACATTCAAATTTTCTCTACAGTATGTGCTTGCTTTCCATTTGTGATACATTTTGTGTTTAACCACACTCTAGTTTTCCTCTCCACACAGTGTAAAATCCAAATATATAGGCACTGCAGCTCCTTCCAACTGGTCTATCTGCACCACTGTGGTTCTTCCCTAGGAACCAGCTCTGAAGGAAGCCAGTGAATTCACTCATCCAGGCACACAGTGACCAGTCAGCCCTTTGCCCTACTGGGCTCCTGTCATAGAAACAGCACTCTCTGAAGTTATCTCACTTAAACATCCCTGCCTTCCCCAATGAGGTAGCTCTATGCATATGGATCTTCAGCATTCTTATCCCTGCATGGAACCTGTCACCTGGACCAAGTCAACAATAAAGACTTCTTAACTCTACAGCAGAGCTCCAAGTTTCTGTATTTTTCATACTCAGAATAATCATTTCCCACACTAGTTAAAAACCATCTTTGTGACTTTATTGGTTATAGCACTTTGTACTTACACTACACTGTAATTTTCTTATTTACTTAAGTATCCGACTGCTGTTGGTCATTTAAAATATCACTAGCTTTGAAATGGTACCTGGTACAAAGTAGACACAAGGGAGCCATACCAATTTTTCTTCTTCTCAATTATTTTCTTTTGACAAATTTCCTAGAATGGAATTACCAAGTCAAAGTGAAAAATAACTTTTAATTCAACACAGAAGAACTAGTATCTCACCCTTCAATTTTCTCCTTAGGGTAATGAGAAAAGAAGTTAATTTTAGAAATAGATATTTATATTATTTGGCACCTACTATATGCCAAACCTTTGTGATATATCAGCTAGCAAGATGATATTTTTGCAGGAGTTATACTCTAGTTAGAGAGCAAGAGTGTGACAATAAATAACGAATATCATATAGGAAGTTAAGAAGCAATGTTTACTACAGCAGAAAGAAATCAGATGCTGCAGAGGACCAGCCAAGGGGCCAGGGTCAGATTTAGACCTTTCTGTGAGGGTGACTTGTAGAGCAAGCACTGTCTGTTAGCTACTGCAATGCCTGACTGAAGGGAAGAATGTTCTGGGGAGAAGGGAGAGTGACACTTTGGCAAAACTGAAGAGAAGCAGGGTGAGGGAAATTCTTAGCTTTAGTGCATCACAAAAGATATAAAAGACAGCTTTATCAAGACACAATTCACATACATCCAACTCTCCTGTTTAAAGTGTATAATTCAATGGTAGTCTCAGAGTCTTGTGGGCATTACCTCAAATTTAGAATATATTTAGCACTTGGAAAAGAAACCACAAACTTATTAGCAGCAATACCTCATGATCCCTCCATCTGTCTAGTTCTAGAAAACCACTAATGCAGTGTCTGCTTATTATATATATAGACTTATATAATCTGATCAGATGAGTCTTTTGTTGATTGATTGTTTTCAATGTATATACAGGCC